AATGCATAATGCTTCGGGATATATGAATATAATAAAATTGAATCACTGCAGACATTTAACATTTTCGCCAATTTTAAGAACTAAAGGTGTCCTGTCCGATAGATGTTCCAGAAAAATGTCAACAGAAAGAACAATTGAAGGGCTTAATTTTTAATAAGAACTAAAAATATTAAATTAATCGAAGTGGAGCTAGGAGGACTGGGTGATTTCCATTAACCAAAGCACTAGGTTTCCTGCAGAGTGTAGCCACATAATTTTGCCTGAAATCGAAATTAAGGATGCAATGATTGGTGATTTAGAATAAAGTTAAAAGAGGTGATCCATCCCATTACACACTTTCAATATTAGACCTAAACGCACTCAATCTACAGGTGGGGGAAGTGCAATTGTATGATTTTTTGCACTAATGTGGTATCCTATTGTCCGAGTCTCTACGCATCTACCGATTAAAAGCCGATTTAAAGCGGTTATCGAGAGTTTGTTGGTTGGCTTTCAATGATTTTTGTAATGCTCCTCCATCTAAAAGTAATGGAAAGGAATTCTAATTTTATGCATATTAGTGAATCCTGATAATTCTGTTTGATGGTTAAGATGCCAACCTGACAGTTGTTTTGGTGCATCTGATATAACGTCCACCCAACTCCATCATTGGCGATATGAGACTTTTTCACAAGAATACTCGTCATTATGTTTGAGATTGCAATGGTGGAATTTTGAGCAAGAGATGTCTTCAAAACACTAATACATCAATCAAAGTGAAAAACTTGTCAGAGTACCAAAAAAGGGTCCGATCGAATAAAGTACTTGCATGTCGTTTAGAAAAAATTGGGAATCGTTTAGAAAAATTGGGGCAATCCACAGGTAGGGGAAGTGCAATTGTATGATTTTTGCACTAATGAGGTCCTATCGTCAGAGTATCTACACCAACCTTTAAAGCGGTTATCGAGAGTTTGTTGGTTGGATTTCAATGATTTTTACAATGCCCCTCCATCTCAAAAGTAATGAAAAGGAATTCTAAGTTTATGCGTATTAGTGAATCCTGATAATCCTGTTTTAGGGTTAAGATGCCAACCTGACAGTTGTTTTGGTGCGTCTGGTATAACGTCCATCCAACTCCATCATCGGCATATACCGATATGAGACTTTTTCACAAGAATACTCGTCATTATGTTTGAGATTGCAATGGTGGAATTTTGAGCAAGAGATGCCCTCAAAACACTAATACATCAATCAAAGTGAAAAACTTGTCAGGTACCGGTTATGATCTTTGAAATTTAAGACGTTAGCCGGCGAAATTGTGTCACCTCGATTGACCTTAGCCATAAGTTGTTGTTGGCTCGGACGTATAATTGAATTGCTGATAGGAAGGACACTTATTTAGGATTCCGGGGACAATGCTGCGAATTTAGAATATTTCTATACCCGAATCTTAATTGTGCCAGAATCTAACGGGTTTGCCTAAGAAGAAGCCTCTCAGTTCGAAATTGCAGAAGGGTGTTGCAGTAAACAATTTTTGCATCTTTAGCCAGCTATGTCTTTGGAGGCCATCTGTTGATGCACTGATTTCATGGCGTTCGACCCTATAAAGTATATATTCTTGATCAGCGTAAAATTCTATGACGATAAAGACATGTTCGTCTGTCTTTTGTAATCACACTACCCTCTAAACGAATTGAGATAGATTGCCAAAATATTGCATTTTTGTCTGCAGGCAGGTCATGTTCGAAGATGGGCTATACGGTTCACGTTGAGGCATAGCTTCCATATAAGTGGCAAAAGGAAACGATATGGATACATGATTCCTTTTGAGAATATGCATAGAATCACTTTCTGAGTCGATTTATGCATGTTGGTCCGTCCGCCTGTTGATGTTAAATTGTAAACAAAGTACAGGTCGCATTTATGATCCGGATGAAATTTGACAAAACTCATTTATTTGGACCAAGGCCGAACCCTATTGAAATTGGGGAAAATCGGTTCAGATTTAGATATAGCTCCCTTATATATTTTCGTTCGATTTAATGTTAATTCGATCGCACGAAATTGGCACAGCGTAATAAATTAGGTGTAGAATGATGTGTGTTAAGTTTCCTGGAAATCAGTTCAGATTTAGATATAGCTCCCATATATATTTTTGTCCGATTTAATGTAAATGATGTGCCAAAGCCCCTATATTTCTTTCGATTTGCACGAAATTTGGCATAGGGTACTGAATTATGTCTAGAATGATGTGTGGTGAGTTTCCTGAAAATCGGTTAAAATTTAGATATAGCTCCCATATATATTTTCGTCCGATTTAATGTTAATAGTGTACCAAAGTCCCTATATATTTTTCGATTTGCACGGAATTTGGGATAGCGTACTGAATATAGTCCAGAATGATGTGTGTTAAGTGTCGTGAAAATCGGGTCAGATATATATATATATAGCTCCCATATATCCGTCCGATTTAATGTTAATGGTGCACTAAAGTCCACATATATCTTTCGATTGTCACGAAATTTGGCATAGCGTACTGAATTAAGTCTAGAATGATGTGTGTTTCGTGAAAATCGGTTCAGATTTTGATATAGCTCCCATATATATTTTCGTCCGATTTAATTTAAATGGTGTACCAAAGTCCACGCATACCTTTAGATTTGCACGAAATTTTGCATAGCGTACTTTATTGAGTCTAGAATGGCGTGAAAATCGGTTTAGTTTTATATGTAGCTCCAATATATATTTTCGTCCGATTTAAGGTAAATGGTGTACCAAAGTCCCTATATATCTTTCGATTTGCTCGAAATTTTCCATAGCGTACTGAATTGAGTCCAGAATAATTTGCGTTAAGTTTCCTGAAAATCAGTTCAGATTTGGATGTAGCTCCCATTCATATTTCCGTCCGATTTAATATAAATGGTGCAACAAAGTCAATATATATCTTTCGATTTGCACGAAATTTGGAATAGCGTATTGAATTAAGTCTAGAATGATGTGTGTTAAGTTTCGTGAAAATCGGTCCAATCGATCGGAATATCGTGTATCATGTTTAATCGATTTACATAAATTTGTCCCATTGTACGCAAACGAAATGAAATTTAGCATAGGTTCCAGAAAGGCATAAATATTACATATTTAAGTTCGCTCAATTTCATGTCAATGTTCTTTCGAAAAGGCGGAGTCTGTTAGGAGGCATATGTAGAATATACCCAAATTGGTGAAGGGTATAATATAGTCGACCCAGTCGGACATTACTACTTTCCTTACTGGTTAATTTTTGGTCATTCAAACCCCTTCTAGATTTTCACTTTCTACGGTAGATTTTTCACAAACATATTTTTACATTTTCTAAAAAAAATATTCATAACTAATACAATAATTTATTATTCCAACGGCTGTCAAATTGATAAACTCGTCTAACTAAAAAACCTATGAATTTAAACTAATGTTAAAATCTATGTGGCTATTATCCAATAGACCTGCTCCTAATGCCCTTGGAAATATCACCAATTATCAATTCGATACTTTTGATTTTGTAATGCAATCCAGTATTCCCAAAAGTTTTTCATTATTCGGCACTTACCTATATGGAGAATTACCTATGATAGACAACCAGGCTAAAATCAGGTCTGATTTTACAGCAAAATCTATAATCCATTTCTGCCTTTAAAATCGAATTGTTGAGTGCTTGCTGAGGAAAAGTGCTTGGGCTTGATAAAATATAATCCTGCACTCAGTTTGCTTTTTGACTAGCTTATTTGTAATTAAATGTAGGACTGAGTCAAATAAGTATTTTGATAATATTCGTACTAACTCAACTTGACAAGTTTTACCAATTAACATTGCCCTTAGCACTCCACTGCATGTGTTATGTATCTACATCACTCTGTACTTAACATTTCTCATTTACGAAGTTCACGAAGTTTGATAGTAGCACTTCTATTCAAATATGAAATGTAAACATTTGGAACAATTTTTCAAATGTTTGAACTCATTCTTACACATTTTCACAGAAGCTTGCCGTATTAGAATTAGAGTTTTAGTGTAACACAGACCTGCTGCTGTTGCATGTGAAACCATAAACACAGTTAACCGGCTTTTTTTCTCCCTTTTGAATCTAATCAGGTGATTGATATGCGTATTTTTTCGGCATCAATTAATGGAACACGTCACACCGTTCATATTTATTATAATCCATATAAGGGTACTTCCAAAAAATGGCTCGAAACAAAACAAAAAAATATCATTTTACCGCTAAAGCCAACACAGCTAAGTAGTCTACTTATTTTATTATTGCTGCTGCCGCTTCACAGAGCATGTGTGGTGTGGAGATAGATCAGTGGTTTAGAGAAGTTATAGACGAATGTGAACCATCGAACGTAACAATACTATTTTTTATGGCTACAAAATAAGGTTGGCCTGCCACCGGTAGGTAGTTGTGAATTATTTGTTTTAATTGAAAGATTTGTTTATTTTTAAGTGGACGACAACAACGACGACTAGTTGTGATGTGTGTAATTTATTTTTTTCTTGTTGTTGTTTTTGGTTTTTTTGTTGTAAATAGAAAGTTTTGTAATTGTAGTAGCAATCATTTGTTTGCGGTAGGAAATTTGAAATTATTTTCATTCGGAAAAATCGCATAAACCACTAGAATTTAACGTGTTCGATATTTTTTGTAGTGATAGTAATATAAATAATTACGTTTCAAACTCTCCTCGCCGCTTTGTTGTAAAGTATTGTACCAGCACCAATTTTAACCCGCTCTCTACTTGTCCTGCATTTTTATATTATTAATATTCCTTTTTTTTGTTTGCCTATATTAATTTTTTAGGCTTAAGCAAATCCGCTCTCATTGGCTTGACAACATCAAGATCATCAAACGCAACTGCAGCGCCAGCTCCCTTAACGCCAACCTCTGGACCGCCATCCAGCAGCAGTTTGGGCTGTATGTACTACTAACTACGAAATTAAAAATTCAATCCAAAAAGTAAAACTAATCTGTATATCTTTCATTCCAGCTTTACCCTCCTTGGGTTTGGAACCCAGACCTCCATTGGCTGCCACCCGACCTAAATGTAACAGCATCTTACATCTGTTCGGTGAATGGTTGTTTGAAGCGGCCCACATTGGGGGTGATGCTTGGCTAATGAATACCAAAAGTAAAAACACAATTTTCGAATACCCTACTCCATCATTTCATTCATTTTTCTCTTCTCTCTCTCTCCTTTCAGAACAAGCCAGTGAGGCCAGTAAACGCCCCTCCTCGATGATTATGGAAACTCGTAAGGGTAGCATTTCTTTGTCACAACCAAATTCCCTTAACGACCCCTCAAGCCTGCCGCCCACATTGACTATCGATAAATATGAATCGGGTCGGGCTGAAGCCATTGGCACCCTGTGTAAAATATTTTGTGCTAAAAAAACTGGTGAAGAAATCCTCCCCGTTTATTTGGCCCGATTCTATATGGCCCTGCAGCAATGTTTGAAAATTACCGAAACTAAAGAATGTGATGAAACATTGGCCAGTATTCTATTAAATTCCGCCGATCTATTTCGTTTAGATTTAGATGGTGTACATGTACTGTTGCCCTCATTTATTGCAGCATTGGAAATTGTCCTGCCCGCAAAAGATTTGAAAATTAAAAATCAATCAATGCAATTTAATAAAACCGATTTGCGGCGTTCCGCCATACAAATTTTACTATCGATTTTGACACTACCATTGCATTTTCAAACACTGCCCATACGTGATTTAACCAATGAGACTTCGGAGAGGTGAGGAAAAACTCTAAAAAAAACTTTTAAATTAAATTTCAATTTTGTTTTAATCTTTTTTTCAGGATTACAACATTTTTACAATTGAAACCCCGTCTAATAAATATTTTAATGAATGCCCTACAAGTGGAAACGGATGCACAAAATACCCACATGTTATTAGGTGGCCTATTACTAACGGTACAAGATGCTGTTACCTTTGAAGAAACTGAAAGTCTGGGAGATCATTCGAATCTTCATGGTGGTTCACCTTCGCCTGGTCATGGTAATGCTGAATCGAATATTCTTAGCTCGGGTGAGTTATATTTTAAAGAGAAGAGGGGCATCATGAATTTGCCATGCAATTTTTCATATAAATATTATTTTGGATCATTTAATTTCGTATCGAAAATATATTGGATAATATATTTCGTAATTGAAATGTAGTGCATGATATTCTTTGTGTGTATTTGCTCATATCGAATTTGTATGTTTGGGAAACATCCCGAGAGTGACATCCCGAAGCGAAGAGTACTATATCGTGATGTTGCAAGTGTCATCTGAAGCACTACATCATAAAAGCGTTGGGCCGAGTGGAATCTCTATGGTAATAGGTGGATTATCTGGCTAAAGTCATTAATTTGTCGATAGCCAACTATAAAGTTCTCGAAGTCTGTGCAATGGGCAGAGTGGGTTCGCTACTGTTCCCAGATAAGGGCACCACCACTATCCTGTTACGAATAATCAGCATGAGCTCGGTAAGCAACAAGAGTCGAACACTAATCAAAGCATTACCTAACACAGGACGGTGTCAATCCTGCCATACTGTTAGAGGACGTCGATAATTGGATTTCGGCAAAATAAGTATTTGGAAAGTTATTCGAATCATTAACTCGTTTTAGCATTGTCATAGCATTATCCACCCACGCTAAAAGTTTCGAATTATATTTTCCATCGTAAACTTTTGAAATATCACCTTTGTCGGAAGGGAACAGATATGGCGATATAATTATTTGTGAAGGAGGAAGAGGTTAAAAAGGAGTCCGACGGTGTCTGTTTTGTAATTATTCGAATTAATCTCCCTATTCTCTACTGCTGTTCGTGAGAGAAGCAAAGGGGGCAGACCAAATTTCACCATTCTATTCGAATCGTCATGAATACTTCCCGAGCTATGTGCGAACAATCTTATGATAAAATAAAAAATAAAATATCTGGCGCATCTCTTCAAAACAGTCACAGTTTCGTCGTTAAATGTAACTCAGGTCCTTCTTACCAGGATTTGAAGGGAACTTAACCGTTGCCCAAAGTTTACTCACAAGAGGACCAATGTTTGCTGCACTTCAGCTGTTCTAATCACTAATTTCGCTTATGCTCCGCGATTCATCTGTTGACCTCTAACGTTAGTCAGTCTAACTACCACCGCTAGGAAATTAGGTCTCATCTCGGATATTCGACCAGCAGCTATAAATCTAGTAGCTGTTGTGGAATGGAAAGTTGTCTGAAACGATGGTTGGTGAATTCTCTGAAAACCTGTCAGTTGACATTCCTTTGATTTATGAATGTGCGGCTTTCAGGCGGTCTGTCGATGGAGGCAATTATGGGGGGAGAAGGTCTGATCCAAGTGAAATGAGGGCCCAGCAGTTAATGACTGTGACTTTCTCCCATTATTCTGAAAGGCGCATCCTCATTTCCCGAGCATTAAGTGGAGTTATAAATTTCTAGCCAACCAAGATATTCTTCCGATTCTCATTTATTGGCTTTCGAAGATAGCTGCCAATAAATTGCAGAAATGATTGAAAGTCGGTTGTAGAAACAGCAACGTACGGCGTTCAATTCTGCAGATTGGATTGCTGTTGAGGAGAACGCGGAGACGTGTTCCGTATTTCAATGAAGAAGGTAACGTCGTGGATAAAGTTTCACTGTGTATTGATCAGCAAGAGACAACGTAATCCCGTTCATAGTAGTCTCACAACCGGACAGAACCACGGTTTTGCTTGAACCCGGCTGGGGCCAAAAAAATCCTGAAGAATAATTTATGTGTCTCGCAATTTCCTTCCACCATCCCGAATATCAGGATGTTTTGATCTGGTGAGATATTTCTACTTTGGAATAGCTCCGTTCATTATGTAACTAATATTAATGAAAGTAACATCCATACAAATGTATTATCCAATATATTTTTTTATACGGAAAATATATTATCCAATATTAAAACTATAGGAATATACTATAATATCCAAATCTCTTATATATTTTGTTCCATTTATATTTATTTTGTTGATTTTTTTTTAATTTGCATTTCTTTATTTTTGTATTTATGTTTTTTCTTTTCATCCCTTTTTGGCTTTTTGTTGATTTATTTATTGTAACACCCCCGTTTACATTGAGAGCTACAGCTTGTTCTGAACGATCTGCTTCAATAGCTAGTGTTGGCAATTCTAGTTTAGGTGCACACAGTACTGCTACCATAGGTAATTCTGTTGCCGCTGGTTCAACAGCAGCTGATTCGTATCATGGTTCGGGTACATTAAATGCCCGTGATAATTCATCGCAACATGAATATCCGAGTTTGACGATATTCGATGATTTGCCATTGGATGTTTTGCACGAATATGAAACAGCTACTAGTTATGGTAATATAATTATGATTTTTTTTTTATAATTTAAAAATTTCTTTTTTCATTGTTACTTTTCTTTCTTTCCTATAATTTGCTAATTTTCCTTGTTTTTATTATAACCAATAAATTGTTAATTTGTTTTATATATTAAATAATAATATCGTAACTCATCTTGTAGATAATGCCCATGCACTATTTGTTCGCGCCACATATTTGGTATGTCACCGCTTGATTTCATCATGGAGAACGGATTTGAATGTTTCCCTGGCGGCATTGGAGCTACTTTCGGGTTTGGCTCGTCTCTTTATACGTGATACAGGTATGTTTATTTTGAAAATTAAATATATTTGTTTTTATTTATTTTGTTGTCTTAAAATATTGTTTTTGCATTGTTTTGCTAATATACAAATATTTATATCCTTGGTTTTGGGGCTGATTGGTTTATGTTGTGTTTATTTATTTTCTCTCTCTCTACATTCCCAGCATTTGTTTCTTGTTTCTTATATTCCCATTTTTTATTATTTAATTATTCTTGGTTTATCTATACCCCTTCTCCGCCAACTTATTTTTGTACATATAAATATATAATTTTATTATTTGTAGCGGCGTGTGTGTATGTGTGTGATTTATGTTGTCAATATATATATTTTTGCAAAATCCATTTTATATAGAGGGTGTTAAATTATATGAATTTCATATTTCGACTTTTTGGTGGGTACGAAACAACTTTGCATTTTATTTCGTTTATTTCACATGTAATTCAATTCAAGGCGAACGAGCACATTTAAGAACAGAATTACAATATACATCGTACACAATTAACTTTACCTTAAAATATAAAACAACCCCACTATTTTACAGATCGCATACAACCAAATTTTTCTGTTTTTTAGTGTTTACGAAACCTTTTTGACTTTTTAGTATAGGTCCACTGATAGATAACGGTGCCACTCAACGTTTAACGTTTTAACGTTTTAAGGTTCATAGTAACATTTCTGCACAAAATTATCTATAAATACTGGTCTAATAAGGAGATCAGGAGCAGCTCGCCTTCACAATGATAAATTCGTCAAATTATATGTTGCATCTCCACGTTTCCAAGACAGTAAGGTCTATAATTCGAAATTTCGTTTCTTCTCATGTGATATTCACATTATCTTTATAAGTCTTTCCGAACGATACGATAGGTAAGGCAAGGTTATAATATATTCATCTGATTCATACAGGCCGATTTCACTTTTATCACCACCAGCGAAGACTCTTGATGCATTACTCCACCCCAGCATTAGGAAAAGCTATCCAGTTGCATGGGTTTCGGAAGCAACACAGCAAAATAACAGCTTAGCACGCCATCTCCACGCATAACAGTCATTCATGCCACACTGTTTAAGGACATCGAGAACACTTTTCTTTCGGTCATATTTGAAACGTTGTGTAGACGCCATTCGTACGTTGATTCAAACCCCGAAGAGTGTAAAAGGTAGTTCTTCATAGTGGAGTGATATCTCCGAAACTGTTTAACATTTGCCTTTCCGGTATTACTCGTCCTCCAGATTGAGGGAGGGCGCACGTAACGTATGCAGATGATTGTACGGTCATGGTGTCGCGTCATATGTGTAAGGTTGAACGCCTATCTCGCCTTTTACATTGACTGCGTCGAGAGGCACACAATTTCGACCACCAACGACCCCAAAATTCTCGAGGTCACATTTGCGATAAGTTGAAAAGTACAAACAAGGTCCTGAAGTCGGAAACAGGGGGCTGGTAACGATCCCATGTTGACCTCTTGCGGTACCAGCGCGTTCCACCAATACTAGTGCTACACAATCGAGAAGTATTCAGTCCTGTCAAAACGCCGTTCTGAGAACTGGAACAGGTTGCCTCCTTATGACACCAGTGGACAATCTTCATTAGGAGATGTATATACTTCCCTTACGCCATCATAGAAATATGCTTTTGTTGCAGTACCTGCTTAGGTGCTTCAGGGACAATCATCCTACCAATCATATGGTGGATAAAACGCCCCCACCCGGGTGTGTCAGAAAGGATATGCATGATCTAGAGAGAGAAAGAGAGAGATGTATAATAATAAACCAGTAAGGAAGGAACATTGACATGATATTGAATGAACTTGAATATGTGATCTTTATCTATATGTGAACCGACTAACATCAATCCGTACATATATTCTGAAACCTATGCTAAGTTTCATTTCATACAGGCAGATTTAGAGTCGTTTGTGTACAATGGGACAAACTTATTTAAATCGATTTGTAGCACTCTTCAAAATTTAATCTCAATCAGACACCCATGCGAAATATATATGGAAGCTATGTCTGCATCTACACCAATTTTAACAAAACGCAATAACGTCATTCTAGTCTCAATTTGATACGTTGTGCAAACGTTCGTGTCAATCGGACAACCATTAGGAGTTTGGTACACCATTTACCTAAAATGGGACGAAAATATATAGCATATATATATATATATATGCGGGAGCTATATCTAAATCTGCGACCTGTACTTTGTTTACAACATAACATGTACAGACGGACGGACATGCATAAATCAACTTAGAAAATGATTCAATGCATATTCTCAAAAAGAACGGTGTATAAAAGAGGGAATCTATAGATGAAGTTACCATTTGAACAGGTCTAAATAGCATATTGATGCAGTTGCCGCAGCGCCATCTAACGCATTTGATGAACTTCAGCTGCCCAACAAACCGGAGTAATTTTGGCCGAATTACGTAAAAGATGGTGCAGTCGTCCCAACTCGTATTGGGTACTGATTAATGACCACGTGGAGAATGTATGACCAGCACGTACAGAATGTTAGACCTCACATTCAGCCTTTTCCTTTTGATTTGGGTTAGGTTTCGGATCAGAAGTAGGAAGTCAGAGATAGTGAGCTTCGCTGATTCCACTACTTCATTCGATTTAGAGGTCTCCTGGAAGATATTTAATCGAGCAGCTGGATTCGGGAGGGAGATCCTATCCATTTGGACCTCAAGATGGAGTGCGTGCGAATAGATTCTTTCGAACTTCCTTACGAATCTCATCTTGCCCTTTATGAGGTGAACATCCCTCTCCGAAAGAAAATTCGCGTCTCGAACCATGAATTTGCGAAGATACGAAACAGCGCGTTTGTAGTGCCTCGCGTCAGATACTTCTCGGGTCTTTCCAACCTTTGAGCCGCTGTCCGTTGCTGGGGTCTCGACAGATTCCCTATCGTCGGACATCGCCTCCGTCGCAAATTGCTTTTGAAGTTTATTGTAGACAAGTGCCGACGCAGGACCTGTTGGAATCAGAATTGAATTCGGTCGGTCAACGGTCTACGCTTCCTTCGTTTAGGCTACAACAATCCCCTGTGTAGACTTGGCCGGGATCACCGTGGTGTTCAGCTCATCATCATCAGGATGAGATTTAGTAGCAGTTCCTCCGGAAGCGTATCCCCACATTGTTCTTCCGGTACAAGTATGTCTAACTGGTCGAAGATTTCCATACTTTGCTTCTCTAAACTATCGCGGATAGCGTTAAGAGTCCCGTGTAGGTCCTCCCCTCCGAGAACTACAGCCCTGTCATCAGTCCTGACTTGCTCGTTTGCCAATAGAATTGCCGGTTCGTCAACGTTGTTCGGGGTTGAAGTTAATGCGCTTGTAACAGATACAACTGCAGGAGCCAAGGCATCCACACCTAGAAAAGCTGGATCACAATCGCTTGATCTCGACGACACGTGGCTTGTGATCTCACCAACGATTGCCGCCGGTACTGGCCTATTAACTCCCTGTACCGTAACTTTATTCCTTTTACTCTTTTTTTTCCATCGTATTAATAATTATGGGCACTATTTAATTAATTTAAGGGCACTAACCCTTTTTGGTCCACCGGTGATCCGAAGATCCTCAAGAATTTCACGAAGTGCAGAGAAAAGTTGACCTAGGTCAGATTCAACTTGAAACATCGTAGTAGCAAACTGTTAATGTTGTTGATCTTTTGTGTGATGTGGGGAGATAATTATATGCACATCATGGATACACCCTTCCCATCTACAACCCGGGAAGACGCGTCTAGTAGGAGATTGGTTATAGGTTAACCATGATGGATTTTTGGCAAAAATATATATGTTCCTTAAACCAACCATCTCTAAAGATTTTACCAATTTAATACGTAGCCTGACTTCTTACGTCTCTTGTGTCCTTACCAAACCGTTCAGTGGCTGAAGATTTAGGATTACGCTCAAAGCAGCTTGAGTAGTACTTGGAGGAGGAGTGATGCAGTAGCTGTACAGTATTCAGCTTGGTCAAGAGTGCTCGCTTGTCAAGCCCCTGCAACCATACCCAGAAGGGTCTACGATCAAACAAGACCCAAGTCTTACTCGGCCAACGTCTTTCATCTCAGTCCATTGCGTACAAGAGCTTATAAAACAACAGCAATAAGACGATAACCACCGCAATTCGTGGTGCCACATTAATTTGTGCCCTCAGTCCATTGTGAAAAAGAGCTACCACAAAGCAACAACACGTTAATTTGTGATCAAAGACTGTTCCGAGGTATTCGGCTACTAATGAGAGTGCCAAATTCTCTTCATTCAATTCAACATGACCAATACTTTGTAACTAGGTCTAATGCAAACCATTAGAACACGAATGTCCATATTAACACCTCAGTCTTATGGTGTCCACAAATAACAGGTATTTCCAACTGGAAAATCTAGTAAATTTCCACCTAGTTGATCGAGTGTTTTGCTTCCGGAATCCTCTCTCAATATCCGTTGACAATCCACTGTGCAACAGATTTTATCTTTGTGATAACATTTTTTAAATTTATTCACAATCTACGAAATTTATTAGTGTAAATAAATATAAGGTTTTCTGAGCAAGAATTGGTCACTAATTGAAAAGTTCTAAGAAAACAAACGAATATCAATATATTGCCTTTGAGGATCATATCCAAAATCTTATGAGTGTCAATTTTGTAGAATAGATTCGGATAATTGACCTTTTGGGTTAGTAGGTGCAAAAATAATATTCTACCACAGACCATGTGTTCCATTTTGTCGCCGACTGAAAATTTCGTAGATGAATTAAATGGTTTAAAATTATTAATTGGATTCCTAGGCTCTTTATATAAAATGGATACAATAATTTGCCTATCATTTTTTTTTAATTTCCATTTCAACAACATCATCATTTACTTTCATCAAATGTATAATTACAAAAAAAAAACCCTAACAAACTAATTTTTCTTTCTTATTTTTATTCTCTCTTCCTTTAATGATAAAAAATACTAACTAATCCTGGGAATTTGTTTGAATATTTTAATAAATAATATTTATAATATTATTATTTTGTAATTTTTATATTACCCATTAATTAAACAAAAACAAAACCATTAACAAAACCTGCTGTTGTGTTCCATACAAATCATATTTGTAATATAACGAACATCGATCATTCATTGCAATAAATCATTTCATACATTCACCCCAAAAACAACAACAATAACACTTATATACTACTTATTGTACAAATAAATTATACACAAAAAATGTGAAATGCTCTGCAGCTCGGAAATTTACTAATGGTAATGAATAATTCGAACATTTTTAACTAACATCGGTTGTTTTTCTTCTTCTTTTTTTGTTTTTTTCTCTTCTTTTTTCACGAAAAAATCGAACATTGTTAATAACTTTTTTAATTATATATATCATACAACAATGCACACACATACACCTACACGTACATATCACTATTATGGAAATATGAAATATTATTTCAATTCCGACAATTCCATTTCTTCTTATAACTCCTTCTTATTCTTCTTCGGTTCTGATGGTCTCATGTGTGAACCTAACAACTATATATAATATTTTAAATAATTTTGAATTTTCAATTATCATTTGGGTCCATGATACGGGTTATATATTATCACCAAACATTTTTCCATATTTTTTTCTCTGTACATTTTTGATAATCCGAACAAATAATGAAAAAAAAATCGGAACAAATATCTTCACACAAAAATATACACATAAATAAATTCAACCTAAAATTTGGTGGTTGAAATTAAAAAAAAATTGTTGTACAAATCGTTTTCAAATTGAATGCAACCAAACATACAACCATACCAATCATATACAAATACACCAACCAACCAACAACAACAATCAAAAAACATAAATAGAAACCTTAGTCAAAATTGAAGAACCAAGTCAAAATCTTACGATAATTTCCACAGACGCCTTGGAATGTAAACGCGCCGTCAAATGGATTTGTGATTATATCTGCTATCAGTGTTCGAGACCGCCACAGGCACACAGCAAAGATTTGCACAGCACCATTGTTGCGGCATTCCAATGCACATCGGCCTGGTTGATGCAACATCCCTACTTGTTGCAGGATAAAGATTGTCTACAGACCGTATTAGAGGTGGTTGAATTGGGTATATCGGGTACCAAGAGTATTGGTAAACCTGGTGATATACCGAAATTTAAAGATGAAAAAGAATTGAAACCAGCTTCTATGCGTGTTCGTGATGCTGCCGAGGCACTGCTGACAATTATTCTGGAACAAGTTGGTTATTTTCCAAGTGAATGTGGCCCGGAGTCGATATCATCGCTATTGGATGAGGTAGCATTGATGAAACATTGCAATTCATTGGATTCGTCAAATGGTTCTTCGATAACCACCGAACAGGCAATATCGAAATTTAAATATTTTGTAACGGAAAATTCCACGATTTTGGCACTGCTGGAAGAACCATTGGGTAATGATCAGGATCCACAGCCAACGGTGACATGTAAGTATTCAAAACAAAAAAATATATTTTAAAAAATCATAAACCTGTTTAAATCAAGGCCTTGTTTGAGTGCCTGAAAAAATCTTCTTTTATAAACCCAGGCCTTGTTTGAGTGCCTGAAAAATCTTCTTTTATAAATCCAGGCCTTGTTTGAGTTCCTGAAAAAATCTTCTTTTATAAATCCAGGCCTTGTTTGAGTGCCTGAAAAAATCTTCTTTTATAAATCCACGCCTTGTTTGAGTCCCTGAAAAAATCTTCTTTTATAAATCCAGGCCTTGTTTGAGTGCCTGAAAAAATCTTCTTTTATAAATCCACGCCTTGTTTGAGTCCCTGAAAAAATCTTCTTTTATAAATCCAGGCCTTGTTTGAGTGCCTAAAAAAATCTTCTTTTATAAATCCACGCCTTGTTTGAGTCCCTGAAAAAATCTTCTAGAAATCCAGGCCTTGTTTGAGTCCCTGAAAAAATCTTCTTTTATAAATCCAGGCCTTGTTTGAGTCCCTGAAAAAATCTTCTAGAAATCCAGGCCTTGTTTGAGTCCCTGAAAAAATCTTCTTTTATAAATCCACGCCTTGTTTGAGTCCCTGAAAAAATCTTCTTTTCCTGAAAAAATCTTCTTTTATAAATCCACGCCTTGTTTGAGTTCCTGAAAAAATCTTCTTTTAAAAATCCACGCCTTGTTTGAGTCCCTTAAAAAATCTTCTTTTATAAATCTACGCCTTGTTTGAGTCCTTTAAAAAATATTCTTTTTTAAATCCACGCCTTGTTTGAGTCCCTGAAAAAAATATTCTTTTATAAATCCACGCCTCAGTTGGCCCTTGAAAAATATTCTTTAATAAATCAACGCCTTGTTTAGGTCCCTGAAAATATTCCTTAATCCACGTCTTATTAGGTCTTCCGAAAAGGGTTTTTTTCAATTTGTCTCTCTTTTTCGCAGTACTGATCCGTGGCCCCTTCGGTCGCCATGCCTGGACCATGCAATTGCGACATTTGCCACGCAGCAAATCTGGCACTAAATACCATGCCGTTAATCCTGGTCGGCCGATACCAATGAACGAAGTACCGCAACGTATTGAATTCGATCAGAAGCATTTCCCCGAAGGTGTGGAAAAGGTGACTCCCTGTGTTGCTGATTTTTCAATCCCTACCTTCGAACAGATACGCGAACAATATGGTTCGGAAAGTATTAAACAATTGGAAACGATGTTGGAAAATCAAACTATACATGAAAAATTGGCATGGGCTGAGACAGACAATAGTTCCGATTCTTTGTCACATGCCCAGGAGAGTATACCACCACCGGTGTGTCATGAATTTCAGGCGGCTCGTTTATTTTTATCGCATTTCGGCTTTTTGACATTCGAGGAGCGAAATCCAAATAGTCCTGCTGAGTCATTGGGAGCTCCACCACAAAGGCCCCTTATTGTTTTGGACACGAAGAGATCGAATTTTGCAGCGGAATTAAATTCTTTGGATAAGCTAAGTGCGAGGACTTATGATACGGTACATGTATTCTATGTGAAGGCGGGACAGACCACGGCGGAAGAAATTGTTGGCAATATGAGTGAGGAAAATGTTCGCAGCTTGGATCCGCATTTTGGTAATATGTTAATGACTTTGGGTAAGTGTTTGGAGGATTTTTTAGTTTCCTTGGAGAATTTTTGATTTTAACTTCCATTTACTTTAGGCTGGCCTGTTGATATTAACGAACATTCCGGCTGGTCTGGTTTGGTTAGCACCTCGTGGTTTTTGAAATCGAATTCAAACAAAACTGAGGACAAATCACAAAATCGCTCAGCGGGTCCAATGGATTTCAAATTCAATGGTGAATCTAAGGTATTATATTGGGCAGATGTCTCCTCGGAAATTGCTTTTGTGGTCCCAACAGAATGGAATTTGCGATCCGAAGTTGATGGCTGCTGTCAATCATCAACAAGTGGTGATACTACCAATGTTTGGTCTCGGGCATCAGTTGATGTTGGCAATGTGGTTGATGCTAATAAAAATTCTGCACAACGTTCACGTAATCTTTCATTGGAATTGGATAAATCCAAGGATCCGGTACCACCAACACGACGCAAGGCAAATGCCATGAAACCGGGTCTGTTGGCACAACCACCGGCTAAGATTTTCCTCGTTTGGTTGGAGTCATTTGAAGATGTTTTGAATTTCCCCATTGGTAAGTGCACAAGGGATCTATTTAAGAGGATTTTAAATTTTATTTCTTGTAATTTACTTTTTTATAGAGGAATTGCTGCCCTATACCAAAACCGGGGAGGAATCAAATATTCTCCAACTGCCTAGAGCTGCAGATGTCCATGTGATTTTCATTCATGCCCTACAATCGGGACTGCTGAGAGTAAAATTACAAGGTCCCCCGGGACGCATGAGTTTTGCCACACCCCTGGTAGATGGTATGGTATTAAGTCGTCGTGTTGTTGGCAATCTTGTACGGCAGACTGCCCACAATATGGCCAAGAGAAGGCGACTGGATAATGATAAGTATGTCATCCCCATTTTTCTTTTAATTGGAATTTTAGTAATTAAAATATTTCCTTACAGTTTCCAACCACCCCATGTTCGTCGCCGCCTAAAGGTTCAAGATATTGTACAAAAATACAAAATGGATTTGTCCGAACCGGAGCTGTTGGCTCATCTCTTTAAATCATCTTTTTGAATACAGTATTTTTTCAAATCCCCAAATACGCATTCGCAATTTATTAGTAATATTTAAAGTATTTATTATTTTGCCTACCATTTAAATTAGCATAAACAACAACAATGTACTTTTAAAGTATAAGAGTTTTTGTACTATTTTAATTTTTTTGCATTACAAATGAAATTGCCTTTATTCTTTTGGGTAAATGGGTTGTTTCTTCCAACTTGATTGATTTGATATCCTATATCTCTTGTTTAGTATTTTTATAAGGACTTTGTTAAACTCCAATACTATGTTTAGTATTATATTTTTCTGTAGCCGGTAAAATTTTTCTAAGTACATTTTCTTTTGCGATAATAAATAAAATACAATATATTTTTCTAACAAAAACTGATTATGTTTTAATATGTTTAATAAATCCAGGTCTTGTTTATGTGTTGAAAAATATTCCTTAATAAACTTGTTTAGGCCTCGAAAAATTTTCCTTAGTAAATCCTAGACTTGTTTAGGCCTTGAAAAATATTTCTTAATGGGTGACGTAGGGGATGATAGATACCAAGCGACGGCTCTGATTGGCTTTAACATGGCGAAGCCCAGGCTTATCTTGCTCCTTCTTTCATCTCAATTGTGGACACTGACCTCCCGCGGTGTCACCTGGATAACTATTTTCATCATACATTGAAATAGAGAGCTAATATGTGCCGCGAGTTCACCCATAAGAGCTATAAAAAATGGGTTGAGGCGTCGGGTTAGTTGCCCACACTCGGAAAACCACTCTTACTATAAAAAAGCAACCACTCTTACAATGAAAAAGAAAACCAAACCCAATGTTGACGACCCCCGCAAACGTTTAAAGGACCACGATCTGCGAATCTGCACTTGGAATTTGTGCACGTTTTGCAGTTTTCGCCTTGGCGGATGTACTCGAGAAATACAAAGCCGATATTATTGCCTTACAAGAAATGCGATGGAAAGGACTGGCATAAGTAAATCAGATGATTACGCCCTGTATTATAGCTGTCATGAAACGAGACATGAATTTGGCTGCGGATTTATGGTTAATAGGATAATAAAAGACCTCGTCTCCAGATTCACTCCAGTAGATGAGTGAATTGTCATAATCCGTATAAAAGTGAAGTTCTTCTACATCAGTCTTATTTGCGCCAATGCTCCGACGGAAGACAAAGATGAACAGACCAAAGACATTTTTTACGAGCGCCTAGAAACTGCATATGACCGCTGCCCTGGCCATGACATTAAAATCCTGCTAGGAGATTTTAATGCAAAAATCGTAAGGGAAAATATGTTTGTTCCCACTGTCGGAAAATTCAGCCTCCATGAAGAAACATCCGACAACGGCATGAGGTTGATTAACTTCGCGGTAGCAAAAAACATGGTAGTTAGCAGCACCAGATTAAAGTATCTCGATATCGACACAAGGCCACCTGGATTTCTCCTGATCAGGCAACGAGAAATCAAATTGACGATGTTGTGATAGACTGTAGGCATTCGTCAAGTGTTTTAGAAGTTCGATCGATGCGAGGAGCGAATATCGATTCGGACCATTACATTGTGGCAGCCAAGGTTCGCGCCCGGCTTAATGTAGCAGCAAAGGTGCGATGAAATGTAACACGAAAACTCGACGTCGAAAAGCTGCAAGCACAACTGATAGTAGAAGCGTACACCGCTCAACTTACACACCTGCTTGACGAAAGCACCCCTTGTCCCGATAATAGTATAGAAGCACAATGGCAAAGAATTACCCACTCCCTACACACTGCAACAAAAGCAACACTTGGGTACCAAGAACCACAATCAAGAAACCCGTGGTACGATCAGGAGTGTCTTGATGCTACTCATATGAAAAACGCAGCGTATAGGGCAACCCAGCGGACAGTACCAACACGTTATGCGATGGAGAACTATCGGGAAAAGGAGAAACGTGTTTTCAGAAAAAAGAAGAAAGAGCAAGAAAAACGTGAGCGTGAGCAAATCGAGATGTACAGGAGTCAGAATGAAGTCCTAATATATTACCACCAAACCGAAGGTTTTGGTGCAGGCACATCCTCCTGTAGGGATGAAGAAGGAACCCTGGTGACATATACAGACAGCGTGCTGAGGATCTGGAAGGAGCATTTTGAAAAACTTCTGGTATCAAATAGTAGCGGTGAAGAGGATACCCCAGAACCAATAATAGATGACGGTATAGAGTGTATACCACCTTGAGAATAGCAATCAATTGGCTGAAGAATAATAAAGCAGCAGGTGCGATGGGTTACAAGCAGAACTATTCAAGACTGGTGGTCAGATGCTGGTAAGGAGCATGCACCAGCTGATTAGTACAATTTGGCCAGAGGAAAGCATGCCCAATGTTTTGAACCTTAGCGTCTTGTGTCCGTGCACAAAAAAGGAGACAAGACGATATGTGCCAACTATAAAGGAATGAGTCTCCTTCGCATCGCATATAAAGTGCTATCCAGCGTGCTGTGTGAAAGACTGAATCCAATGGACCATACCAATGCGGCTTCAGACCTGGCATTTTCAGTCTGCGCCAAATCCTGGAAAAATCACAAAAAACGCATCGACGCATTCCACATATTCGTCGACTATAAAGCCGCATTCGTCAGCCCTATCCGTTCAGAGGTATATAAATCCATGTCTGCGTTTGGCATTCCTGCAAAATTAATTCGGATATGCAGGATAACTCTAACTGGCACAAGATCAGCAGTTAAAGTCGGAAAGGACCTCACGGAGCCCTTTAATACCGAACGAGGATTCAGACAAGGTGACAGTTTGTCGTGTGACCTTTTTAACATCCAGCTGGAAAAGGTCATATGAGAGGCAAAGGTGAACAGAAATGACACTCTGTACACCAAACAACACTAGTTACTCGCCTACGCCGATGACATCGACATAATGGGTCGAACATTGAGAGCGGTAACCGCCACCTTTGAACAAATTGAGAAGGAGTCTGCCAAAGTAGGTCTGACAGTAAACGGCAAGAAGACCAAGCTTATGGTATCAACGCCCAAGACGACCAGTAGACTCGGACCAACTGTGGAACTTGAGAACTACAGCTTCCAGGTAGTCAAAGATTTTATATATCTTGGTACCGCCATAAATAAAACGAATGACATCAGTTTTGAAATTCGGAGAAGGATTGTGATGGCCAACAGATGCTACTACGGTTTGAGTAAGCAACTCAAAGTAAGTCCACATCACGTCAGACCAAACTACCCGTGCTATTATATGTATCTGAAGCATGGGTACTTGGAGTGTTTGAGAGAAAAATTCTCCGAAAGATCTATGGGTCGATCTGCGTAGACGGTGAATATCGCCCTCGAATGAACCATGAGCTGTACCAGCTATTCTCGGACATCGACATCGGATGAAGATGCCCCAGCCCAAAAGGCATATAAAAGCGAACCAGCTGATGGTACATGAAAAGGGGAAGGCCACTAATAAGATGGAAAGATCAACATTGCCGTTGTCCTCCTCAAAATGGAAAAACTGCGCAAAAGACTGACGCGCCTAGAAATCTTTTCTAAGCTCGGCTTATGGAACGAAAGTTCTGTCACAAGCCAGCTAAGTAAGTAAATCGTGGACGTGTTAAGGTATTGAACAATATTCTTTAATAACCCCTAGACTTGTTTGGGCCTTGAAAAATGTTCTCTTATAAACCCAAGACTTGTTTTGGGCCTTGAAAAATATTTTTTAATAAATCCACGCCTCTGTTGGCCCTTGAAAAATATTCTTTAATAAATCTTAGATTTGTTGATCTTTGAAAATGTTGTTTCTCTTATTTTACCCTAAATACTTGTTGCTAATACAAAGTTTTTCTTTTTTATATGACCAGCATAAATTACCTATAACTCCCTATAAAAATAATTTTGTGCCAATGTTAAGAAAACCCAACACCACTCACTCTAGTCTTTCTTTAGTGCTGGTGTTTTTGTAGTTTGGAAGTTTTGTTGTCATTGTGCTGCATCCTTTAAAATGCCACCATTTGTACATAGTTTGTCTACTTTGTAGTTAATTTATGATCTCCTAACTTTAAATGTTTAAGAATTGAAAGAGAACGAACACACACACGTACTCACACACGGCGTAAAAGTAAAACATGTTCTGATTTCCAGACACAATAAAGTGAATCTTCTTAGTCAACGTTCGACTGCGAAGAAACAAATTCCTCATGTGAAAGTCAGCAAAAGAGGAACAATCAAACATACAGACCAAACCAAAAAATGTTACAATTTAAGCCTTAAGGATTACATAACAAATAAAACATAGTCCACACTTTTTACACACACAGAGACATAGGCGAGCGGGCTAATGTTCCTATGTACCAGTTTTGTTAGTAATTCGGGCTAGTTCTGAAGTGTTGGTGGTGTTGACCACTACAGCTTGGTAATGAATTTAGTTTGCGATGCTCCCCATTAATGACTACAAAGTGGACAAACTATTGGCAATTCTAAAAAAATTAAGCGGCAGCATTCGAAGTTAATATTTAATGGGGGGCCTTAAATAAAAATAATATTTTTCAAGGCCTAACCAAGGCGTGGATTTATAAACGATTTTTTCGGGGCATTCTCATTCATTCGCACAACATGGCCTAGCCATCGTAGTCGCTGCAGCTCAATACGACTGACTATGTCGATTGCCGCGTATAAATTGTAAAGCTCGTGGTTCATTCGAAGCCTATATTCACCGTCGACGCAGATAGGCTAGTAGATCTTTCGGAGAATATTTCTCTCAAACACTCCAAGAGCTGCCTCAACTGCTTGCGCAATACCCATGCTTCAGAACCATATAATAGCACGGGTAGTATCAGCGTCTTGTAAAGTGTGCGTTTGATCTGGCGGGAGGTGGTCTTGTTTCTAAACTGTTGGCCATCACAATCCTTATCCGAATTTCAAAACTGATGTTATGGCGGTACCAAGGTATATAAAATCTTTAACTACCTCGAAGCTGTAGTTCTCAAGTTCCACAGTTGGTCCGAGTTTACTGGACGTCTTGCGCGTTGA